GAGTCGGGTCCGGGTTGACATTCTTGACCTTTTTGCCTCAATTTGGGTTGAACTCGAAACTAACCTGTTGACCTATTTTGACACCCCTAAAATTTATTGTTTGATGTATAATTCACTAATTTTTATTGAATATCAAATATACCTAAACTTATAATGAATTATATGCAACTAAGGTTTCGTTTGGGTTTTTTTTGCTTTCTAAAGTATTTTTTTTAGTAAAAAATATCTAAATAAAAAATTTTGTAATTGATGAGGAGTTTCGTCAATTAGATGTGAGAAAAGATTACATACTTTTTTGTTTATTTAAAAATATTTTATAATATTTAAGTAGCTAATGTGGAACAAATTGATTTTGTTTGTGAGGTAAGTTTAACATTACTCTAAAGTTAAATAGGAGTAGATAAATGCATTGGTGGCACAAATGAAGCCCTAGCTCCTTCGGACTCTTTCTTTGCTCCGGCGCGATCCGTCTCCTCCCAATCCGTCTCCGTCTCCGCGACGCAAACACCCACTCCGACGCCGAAGCAGATATTGATGCCGACACCGAATCCGAAGCCAAAGCCGTTGCTTCCATTCCAACGAAAACTTCACCGACATTTCTGTCGACACCCACACCCACCTCGCGATCTTCTCCGCGCGCGACCCTTCTCTCCAATTGACAACAAGGCCAACGCTGACGCTGAAGCCGACGTTGACGCAGACATCGACGCCGAGGCCGCTGCTTCCATTTGCCGCCGTCGTTCGCGACTTCTTCTCTTAATGAGAGAAGTTTTACATACATAGGTAATAAATGAGCTGATAAAAAATCATCATTATTCAATTTCACTTGACTATGACACATAAATGTTTCAGTTTTAGAAATTAGAAATCTCTGTTGTGTTTGATACTTAAAATCTAAATTTCTTCCATTTTTATTTTGATTAAATCATTATATGCTTTGAATAGAAATTGTCTATCAAGAACTCTAATGCTCTGATTTACTCAACTGACATGGAATGATTCAACTTAAATTTTTGTTTGACATTTTTGATCCTATTTGCAAATAGATCCATACTTCTTGTTGGATAAAGAATAACCTTATTCTGATGATGGAAACAAGTCAAATGAGATGGATTTCCTTACATCCTAAGATTATTTTGTTTTGTATTTGTTAACCAGCCTACAATTTGATGCTCGTTATGAATTTTAAATTAATTTCATTTTTGATGTTTCTGCTTAACTATATTTTTATGAATTACTTCTTGAGGATATGTTGGTCATTTTTTACATTATATTCTCATTTTTCCTAAAGGAAAATTGTTTATTATCATCAATTTGTTGTGACGGGGAGAAAACTTTCCTGGGGGAAAATTTCCCCAGCTTGTTGGAGCAAACTTGTTATGTTTGTACATTCCAAATCGCTGCTATAGCCTTTCTACCGCAGCGCTTACAAAACCGCTACTACAGGCTTACCAGCGAAAGCAGATGCGGCGGTTGTGCAGCGGTTTAAACCGCTGCTGTAGGTTAGAAAATGTGATGTTAAAGACTATTTTATTAGTAGTGTTAATAGCATCTTATTAAGGCTATTTCAACAAATTTAAGTGTTGTGAAATCACAAATTTTATGATAATTTTTATATGTTCCATTAATAAATGAATTTCGAAAGCTCATCTATTATGACACCTAATATTTTCTAGAAAAGCTAGTCTATTGAGGCAACTCATGGGTGTCATATGCATATTATTCCATCAAGTTCATGTGCCTAGAAAGTTTATTGTTTAGAGCACATAAAGGTGTCATTACATTATGCCACACTCACCTACATTACATCATTGTGAGATGTCCCAATGGATTGTGCCCTAACATATATATTAGGGCATTTTAAGGTGGCGATGGTCTCATGGCAGAATTTGAAGGAGGTGGTTTGACATCGTAGAATTGAAGGAGGTGTTGACATGATGCGACTACTATAGGAAAAATGCTGAATTCCGACAGAGAAATAAAATATGTTCGAAATCCCAACATATTTTTAGATGAATATTTTCGACGAAATATTTTCGGTGGATTTCTGATGGATTTTTTGGAGGTACTTCCAGCATATTTTCTTGCTAACTCTTTTAGCAAATTCTGACAAATTATTTTAATTTTCTGGAAACATGAATTAAATATTTAAACATTATTCATTTTATTAAATTAAATTAAATATTTTTTGGCGAAGTTTACTATCCGCTCAAAAATTTCTGACAAATTTTTTCACCGGAATTTGTGTGAGAATACTTATCGGCGAGTTATTTGCGTCGGTAATTTATTGATGCGCGTTACCATTGAACAATTTTCACCGGAAATGCTTATTTCAGACGGATTTTGGCATTTTTATGGCAGATTTGCCCGTCGGTAACATGCATTTTTCCTGTGTGGTGGTTAGGTGGTGACAATCTAATGCCCTATTTTGAAGGTTAGCGATATCATAATAGTTAAAGAGTTGGCGTAATGGTTTGACAAGAGGTTGGTTGGTGGTTTTGACGTAGTGATATAAAGGTAAAGCTCTAGGATTCTTCAAACCTCTATGTTGTTGTTCTCCTTCTCCCCTTAAATGTGGATAGTGGAGATCTGATTCATTAGTGATCTGAACGATTAAGGTGTTGAGTTCTTATTTTTTCATAAGCAGCAACAATCACCACTTATTGGCAATCCTTCTGTCATTCTATTCTCTTTCTATTACTATTACCATGCTTTCTAATAAGTGAGTAACATATAGTTTCAATTTGTGATAGTCATAAAAATATAGTTCATTCCAAATTACACTATCAAGTACTTAATTTTGGCACATTTGGACTTGGGATCACTATCACTTTATGGTGTGTATTTTTGGTATTTTTCCCCTTGGATATATTTGGTTTAAATATAAATTGTTCAAACCTGGTTCAGATATCTGAATTTAATTCAAACTTTCTAATTTTCAATATGCCATTAGAAATTCATGCTCCAATTAAATGGATATTTTGATGACAAAATCAAAGCTCAAACAACCGAAGATTATATATATATCTTTATATAATATATATATATATAAATATAATATATATATAATGCAAATGTTTCCTAATAAAAATATTTTATGAGTAATAATTTTGCATAACTAGTTTATTGTGTGAATTCAATTTGATATTCTCGATGAGTGGCATTGCTTGACCTTAATGCCACAAGTTTTAGCTTGGTTATATAGGTCAAGAGTTGAGCAGAGTGAGAGAAGGATCAAGTTAAGTAGAAGAAGCTGCTGGAACCATAGATATAGATTGAATTAGTAAAGCAGCCTCAAAGTTTCAAAAATGCCTTTTCATTCATTATTATTTGGGTTGGAAAAGGGCTAGAGGGAAATGTAATCCAATAAACTAGTTAAAAATTTAGTATCATATGATTTGAAGTGTTTAAAACATGGTCGATAGAACTTCATGCTACAATGTGGAATGACTAGTCTCTACATGGCTCTGACTATCTTCAATGAACACCTATGGTGAACACCCTTGGCACGGGCATCTTAAGTGTTTTCCTTGATGAGTGCCTTCGATGAGTTCCTCGAGTGAGTTTTGCTGAGCTATGGATTAGTTTGATTAATGAGGTGATTGTTGAAGGGTTGGTAGATGTGTATATTTTGTAGTTTAAGTGATGGGCCCTTTGAGAGAGGTGGGTTTCTTTGGCATGGGCAAGTTTTTCTCTTGGTTGAATTCTTATGAGATGAGTATCTCTTTGGGTCAAGGAATGTTAAGGTGAGTTCCTTAATCAAATCTATCCAAGCTTCCTTGGTAGTGCTCTTCCATATTAAGCCCAATTAGGGTGAGTGCATAGCCTTGTTGGATCTAACTTTAGTGATTGCCTTTTTGAGCTTGGTATGTCTTTTGATGAGTGCACCCTTTATCAAGATCTTTTAAGGCCAACTTAGTTAAGGACTAAGAGTTGATGATACCAACATATTAGTGTGTATATATAAAGGTGCTATGATTAGAGGTGTTAGAAAATGATCCGACCCGTCAACTCAATCTGAATTCGTCTCAAAAATTTGGGTTCAAGTTGACCCATTTAATAAACGGGTAGGGTTCATGTCCAAAATTCCAACCCGTTCATTAAATGGGTCGGACCCAATTTTGGCGGGTTTAAAATATTTTTTCTTAGTTTTTTTTATTTATTTATTGGTATGATTGTCTTATTTTTAATAAATGAATCTAAAATGTATTATAAAGAAGTTATAATTTTTTAAGAAAATCAAAATAGGTTATTAGGTTGGGTTCAGGTCACTCAGGTTGCTAGCGAGTTGGATTTGGGTCCGCATTTTTGGTCCGTTATTAAATGGGATGGGCTTGAGTTGACCGGATTTGGGTTGGACTCGAACTCAGCTTGTTGACCCGTGTAAAAGAAAAAAATAAAGGTTTTTACAAAATAAAAAATTTCAAATATTATTGTGCATGATATTTATTATTATTCAAAAATAACAAATATCATGCACAAAAATATTCTAAAAATTGATTGATTTGTTTCTTATTCAAATTTTTTTTACATTTGCAATATCTAATTATATTCATTTAAAAATAAATCTAATAATTTTAAATTTCATCAATTTAAAAATTTTATCTGAATACCTTACTCAAATATTCAAAAAAAAAAATTTTCATATATGGAAACCCATTTAGATACAAGGCTTATATAATACCACATTACCACATATAAATTAAGATAGATTCCAATCACTATAGAAGACGAGATGCAGAGCTAACTTTTAAAGATAGAGACCTTATTTAAGGTAGAAAATGGGTAATATTTCATCACACTATCTTCACCATAAGTGCTTAGTTTGTAATACTCAATATTTATATAATATCATATATTACTAATATTATAATTAAGTAGCAACTTTATTTAAGATAGAAATATAGTTACTACATAATACCATAAAGCACCATATTTAAGCTAGTTAGTAAATGGGAAATCGGTGGTGCTTTCAAGATAACGTTTGTAGAAGACATCGCACTGGTACTGAACCACAGCATAGTGATTTGCATTTTCTTTGTCAAAGGTGTTGAGCATGCAATATCCACTTGCAGAGCGGAGCAGTCCTGTCCCACCAACAATAGGCAACTCACGTACCTTGGAGAGCAACTCATTACGTCCCAACACTGCGAGCGTGCTTCCTTTGAATTCCCCTTGGACAAATATGAGAGTCATGGCCATGAGAGCCGCATACTTGTTTTGATCAGTCATTATATATGTGCCTTGGGACCATCCTATTAGAGGGGATGATTCATTCGAGCCGATGGTTAGCGGATCGTCAAAGACATTCACGGTTCCAAAGCCAGTGGGCGAGTCATTAGATGTGGGGCTTTGGGCGACTACCACTGCTGTCGGATTCGGCTGACTAAACCTGTTGTGCCAGAAGAAATTAAGTTTGATATGTCTCTTTCGAATTAGAAGCTTGGTGTGGTTTTCAGAGGTTTCATCGGCGATTATGGTGGAAATGTGGGAGAGGAGGGTGAGGAGGAGGAGGATAATTAGTAGCCTTTTCATTGTGGAGTTGGAGGTGTAGGAAGGAGTAGTAGTTTGTAGACCATTTTATAAGGTTGTTTTGCTATAGTAGTGGTGGATTGGAAGGACTCTCCTAAAAATTTAAAATTTAGGATTTAGAAGTTAGAGTTTGAGGTGCGTACTGAAAATGTTGATGGTATTATAAAATATAGAAATTTTGCATGTGTTGTCTCCTAAAAAATCTTTTTGGATCTGTCATTGGGTGAAGGAAAGGGATTAGGTGCATGCTATGAGAGAGGAGTTAGGTAGCAAGGATTTATGAGTATATATTTTGGTGCTCATTAGGTCACTTAGCTTAAGATAATAATTATAATTATAAGAGATGAGAAGCTGATTCATGGAAATACTTTGATAACTTTTAATTTTCATTTGTGGAAATTTTTTTATGCTTTATAAAAAGATATTTTAGATTTCGTTTGAGATAGCTTTTTTAAAATAATTTAATACATAAATTTACTAAAAGCTTATCAACGTTTTAAAAAGAAATAAAAAAATTATCTCAAATAAAATCTTAATTATAAATTTATGCTCAGCATTACTTCCAATCTTTAACTAAGATTTTTTAAAAAAGTTATAGTACAAATCACGTGAAACATAAGTGGCTTTATGAGATAGTAAAAAAATTCTGTCAGATTTAATTTTATTTTTATCATCTTCAATCCTTCACGTTTATATACATATCTTCTAATTATATTTATATCTTATGTAAATATTTTTAATAAACTCTTTTAATATTTAAATTATTTTTTTATTTAATATTTAATGATAGTACTAGAAATTTATGGGCCTCAAATTTTACAAAAACATTTCCAAATTTTAATATCTTATATTGATAATTTAACTTTAATATAAATTCTGGAAAATAAGTTAACAAATAAATATTTGATTTATTTCCAATATCATATTATGATTTTAAGAGGATTATGATAGAAACTTAGATTTCATTTGGGATGTTTCTTATTGCTTATTTAGTAATTTTAGTACAAAATTTTAATTATGTATAAAAATTGTTTTAAAAACAATAATAAGTTTATCAACGAACCTAAAATCAGACATGCTTACAAGTTTTTTTTTTCTTTTATATGGTATTTATTAATAGAATTTTGAAAATAATTTTAATTTAGCAATTTTTATACTAAAAAATTGTTTTAGAAATAATAGAAGGCTTATCTAAATGAAGCCTAATTGTTTCATTTGGGACAGCTTTTCTTACTGTTTATGAAGCAATTTTTTATATAAAAATTTAAATTAAAAAATAATAAAAACTGATTCATAAGAAGTAAGATGTTGTCCAAACAAAATCTAAATAAAGAACATGAATACACAGTTTTTTTTTTTTTTTTATCAACGGAATTTATCAATATAATATCTGGAAATAATTTTAAACTATTATTATCAATAGAATATTCATCAATATATTTATGTCATTAGCGAAGCTCAAATGAGAGGCTTTATTTAGATATTATTGTAGGAATTCATTATTAAGGAAAAATAAATGAGCTTAAATATAATATTCTTTATAACTTCAAATTTTTTATAATTAGGGTTTGTTTGGGATTTTTTTTTTTCTCTTTTATTTCCTATTTAAATTTTTGTTTTAAAAAATAGTAAGAAAATACCTCAAACGAAAGCCTTAGCCTTATTACTTTTTAATGAGTATTTCATAACTATGTGTCTTAACCTATTGCATAATCATGAACAATTGGTACCCAAAAAGAGCTTAATTAGTTAGAACATGAAATTTAGTTTGGCTTTGTTGGGATGACTTTTTTAATTGTTTTTTTTTTTTTTGAAACAGAGTTTAAGTATAAAAATTAAAATTTTTGTACTAAAATTATGTTTTAAGAAATAATAAAAAAGTCATCCCAAACAAATTCTTAAACTTTATCTGGGACAGCTTTCTTACTGCTATTTAAAATAACTTTTTAGTACAAATATTTATAGCTCAAAAAAATTTGTACTGAAAAATTGCTTCATAAAGTAATATGAAAGCTGCCCCAAACAAAACCTATCATCTAAATTGCAACTTTAACTTGGATTAAGGGTCATAAATGCAACTACTAAGAAAACATAAGCACAAACAATAAACAACAAAATATGAATGATGGGAAATTGCTAAAATTGATTTGCATTACCAACAATCATAAAACACCGGCAATAAAAAACAAAAAAGGCGGACATTGCTTAGGTTTCGTTTGGGATTGCTTTCTTGCTGTTTCATAAAGTAACATTTTAATACAAAAATTTAAATTTTGGTACTAAAAAATTGTTTTAAGAAGCATTAAGAAAACCATTATGAAGGAAGCCTTAGCTAGAGATGCCTTGATCTGTGCAATGCTGCAACAAAAAACAGGAGCAGCCTTGGTGCTCATTCTCAACAACTGAAAAGAATAGAGAGGGAGAGAGAGAGAGAGAGCAATGCATGAAGAGTTATCATAAATAATGGCAGGGTTCTCTTCAACTTGCTAAAGATGTGAAGAAACAACTGCTTGAGCACCCTAAGGGAATTTCCTTAGTAATAACAAGCAAAATGTTAACCACCAACGGAGATTGAGGACTGAACATGTTTACATGAAGCAACATACTTGTAATATATACATTTTGACTACGATTTTGTCTTGGACAATTTTCTTAATACTTTTTAAAGCAATTTTTTAGTACAACAAATAAAATTTTTATACTAAAAAGCTGCTTTAAGAAGAAGTAAGAAAGCCTTCCCAAACGGATGACCTTCTTACTGCTTCTTAAAGTAACTTTCTAGTATTAAAATTTTAATTTTTGAACTATAAAGTCACTTTAAGAAGTATTAAAAAAGCCGTCCCAAACGAAGCCTAAGTCTGACTTGCATACTCTGTCTAAATATAATATGAATATTTTAGCTAATATTTCATGATGGTATGAAGGAATTGAGCTGTTGCAAGCAAAGAAGCCATGATTTTATTTTATCTTTACTGATTTATTAAATAGCATTTAAATACATTATGCAAAATGGTTGCTAGTATGAAAGAAATTTTAGAGGCATATGATTTCTTTGCTCATTCAATTAGTCATGACCAATTTTTATTTTTCTTAGGTACCACAAAAATGTATTTAATAAAATTTTTGACCAAATTTGTTGAATGGCATTCAAATAAA